AAAATGTGAGAATGGGATGGGAAAAATGGGGGAATGGGGTGGGAAAAATGGGGGAATGGGGTGGGGCAGGATTGGGATGGGAATGGGAAAAATGGGAATGAGGGAATAGGGGAATGAGGGAATGGGATGGGAATGGGAAAAATGGGAGAATGGGGTGGGAAAATGGGAAAATGGGGTGGGGAAAATGGGATGGGGAAAATGGGATGGGAAAAATGGGGGAATGGGGTGGGAATGGGAAAAATGGGAATGAAGATGGCAATGGGGGAAGGGGAATGGGAAAAATGGGAAAGGGAAAAATGGGAATGGGGGATGAGGGAATGAGGATGGGAAAAATGGGAATGGGGGAATGGGATATGGGGAGATGGAAGAATGGGGGAATGAGGGAATGAGGGAACGGGAAAAATGGGAATGAGGTGATGGGGGAATGGGGATGGGAATGGGGGAATGAGGATGGGAAAAATGGGGATGGGAAAAATGGGAATGGGGGAATGGGATATGGGGGAATGGGAATGAGGATGGAAATGGGAGAATGGGAATGGGATTGGGAATGGGGAAATGGGAATGGGGAAATGGGAATGGGGAAATGGGATGGGATAATGCAATGGGAATTGAAATGGGATAATGGGATAATGGGGACGGGAATGGGATGGGAAAAATGGGGATGGAATGGGATGGGAAAAATGGGGATGGAATGGGGATGGAGATGGGAATGGAGAAGTGGAAATGGGATAATGGGAGTGGGATGGGGAAAATGGGGATGGAATATAGAAATGGGATCATGGGAATGGGGATGGGATATTGGGATGAGACGCCCTGGGCTCAGGAAGAGCCATTCCTTGGGATTTCCCACCCTCCTCATCCCATTGGGATCTCTCCATCCCCATCCCATTGGGATCTTTCCATCCTCATCCCATTGGGATCTTTCCATCCCATTGGGATCTTTCCATCCCATTGGGATCTCTCCATCCCCATCCCCTTGGGATCTCTCCATCCCCATCCCCTTGGGATCTCTCCATCCCACCTGGATCTTTCCATCCCATTGGGATCTCTCCATCCCCATCCCATTGGGATCTTTCCATCCTCATCCCATTGGGATCTTTCCATCCCCATCCCATTGGGATCTCTC